CTCCCATGCGGGTGCAGGGCCCAAGGACTTGGGCCATCACCCACTGCACTCCCGGGCCACAGCAGAGAGCTGGCATGGAAGAGGGACAACCGGGACAGAATCTAGCACCCCGACCGGGACTAGAACCCGAGGTGCTGGTGCCACAGGTGGAGGATTAGCCTATTGAGCCGCAGCACTGGCTTCTTCTGCTCCTTTCCAAAGATTGTAAATTCCCATTTTACTCTTCAATCCATTGTACAAACTATCTTTGGTCCCTATCATGTGACTAAAATGGCTCTAGGGTCAAGAATAAATTCCCACTTGTCTGATTCAATATTTTCAGTTTAGCTTTCATTCTAGTAAGTTCCTGACAACTCTTTCCCCACACTCCTTTTTGGATGCTCTCCTGATGGGACAGGGGCCAGCAAAAACAGCTTAGTCTCAACCAGTAACTAACAACTAAGTAGCTTGGTATTAATTAAAGTCAAATGAGAAAATAGATTCATAGTTCTAGCTAATCATAGGCAATTATTATGGCCTACTCTGTTGTTATTTAAGGTGCTGTTGGCATACAAAGAAGAGAATTTGAACTTCTCTCTCCTGAGATGTCAGCAATCTTCTTGGTTAGGCAAGACTTAAGTTTATAAGACTATTGGAGTTTTTAAAATTATGAAACAGTTTAAATGAATATTATATCATGGTACAGGCTACAAATATAGTAGGTATTCAGAAGAGAAAAATGTTTTATATGCAAATATATGCGTGAAATATGTTATCAAACCCTAAGAAAATTACAAGATTTGAGTCAGCAAGGTAGGATGGGAAAGATAGTGCAGGAAGTTGGACTTGTGCCAGCGAAGGCAGAAAGCTCCATTTCTTGATGATGGATTTCTCTGTTCTCTGACTTTTTTCTACATTTTTTTTCTATATCACATTTCCTTTGGTTCAGGATTCGCTTTCTCCCTGCTTAGCCTGGTCAATGCGCTTCATATCTTAACTCTCCCTAAGCAAACTGTCAATTCCATCTTGTCTAGGTCTACTGATTGCCTGACTCATTGAAGACCCAAATGCCACCTTACATATTATGTATCTAAGGATAGACAATCTAGTCCATTTCACTCCTAAGTTTTTAAACTACCCAGAAGAGGCCCTTTTTAAAGAGGTGTCTACAGTGACACATAATTTTGAAGACATTCAGAAGTCATCCAATGATGTAGACATAGAAGCGTAGCAGGTGACTCACACTGATATGTTAATATCAAACTCCCTTTTCTAAGAAACAGAGGTTTAAGGTTCTCCAATATTTTCACAACTAAGATCTCTTTAATCTGAGGGATTGATTTATCCAACCATTGCTCTTCCTAAATAGACTCCAGAATGTATCAAAAAGAGAATTTCAATTCCACTGTAATTGAGTTAGATTCAAAATGGAAAGTCAGCTTGAAACTTTTAGTAGCCCCTTTCTAATGATTATTTTTTAAAAGATTTTATTTATTGATTTGAGAGGTAGAGTTACAGACAGTGAAAGGGAGAGACAAAGAGAACGATCTTCCTTCCATTGGTTCACTCCCCAAATGGCCACAACGGCCGGAGCTGAGAGGAGCCAGGTGCTTCTTCCTGGTCTCCCACATGATGCAGGGACCCAAGCACCTAGGCCATCTTCTACTGCTTTCCCAGGCCATAGCAGAGAGCTGGATTGGAAGAGGAGCAGTTGGGACTAGAACTAGCACCCATATGGGATGCTGGTGTGGAAGGCAGAGGATTAACTTACTGCGCCACGGTGCTGGCCCCACCCCTTCTTTTTTTGACAGATAGAGTTAGATAGTGAAATAGAGAGACAGAGAGAAAGGTCTTCCTTCCATTGGTTCACTCCCCAAAGGCCGCTACAGCCGGCGCTGCGCCTGTCCAAAGCCAGGAGCCAGGTGCTTCCTCCTGGTCTCCCACCCGACCCCTTTCTAATTATACTACATGTCTTTCTTCTCATCAATTAAATATTGTAGGAATCTGAAAGTCATCACAATAGCTGAATTTATTTCTTTGTATAGATAAAAAGTTTCACTTTATTTAATGTATCTTCACTGAGAAATCCATTATATGGCATTACAAATTTAACTAATTTTTTAAATCTTAAAACAGTACATCTCATGGGACTATCTTGGGGCCAAAATTACAGAAAAAAAGTCTGACAAGGCCATAAATGGTCACGAATGATAAGATCATCCACAGTTGAAATTCTATCTGAAAACACAATTGTCTGAAGTTTGGGTTATGACAACCAGAGGAGAGAGAGAATGAAGGGGCCCATGTTACCTCTATTTGTTCCTTTCTTACTAATAATGTGAACAGGAATGAAGCCTACTTCCAATATGCTGCTCCCTTCTTCCCCTTGCCAACCCCAGCTCCATTATTAATGCCTCTTTGGAGAATCTATTTGACTCTGCCCTCTATACAGAGCTTCACAGGAGACTTTAGGACGTCAGTGTTTCCTAATCAGAGAAGTTTTGAGTCTCTTGATCCTGGTGAAGACAAATCCCATGCCCTGGTTTGAGGGAGCAGTTATAGCATGGCAGGTGACACCTGTGCTTAAGTAGCTGTGAATTTCAGTGCTGGAATCCTGCTCAATTGGATAGTTATTTTAAAGAAGAGAGCACATTTCTGAATCTGCTCAAGAGATCATTTTAAATGGAAGTTGGATTTTACTCTCATATTAAGTCTTTGACTTGGAATTGTAAAAGGCAACCTCAAGGTCCTAAACTTGAAGTCTAATATATGGTCTAAAATAGTGTCATTATTGTGTAATGAATGAATTTAAAATTATATATGTTATATTATTCTCTTCATGCAGACTGTTTAAGATCTATATTGGTTAGTATTTTATCTTTCTGCAACACACTATTATACAAATAGGATTTCGAGTTATAGTAAGAAGTAATTTTATAGGTAAACATGAAATATAGACATTTATTTCATAAGCATCATCTTGTTGATGGAGCCAATTTAGAATAATGGCTTATAGCCTATCAGTGTCTGATAAAGCAAAGGCCCAGGTCAAGTGGCCCAGCTACCCTTGGAGTGAAATGCAAGACCAGAGGGCTCAGTGTGTGTGTTTCACTGAGGTCTCCAAGTCTCTGACATAAGGCTTGTCACTTGGGCCTCTTTAATTCTCAATGTTTTCCTTTATAAAGTGAGACCATAAGACCAGATTATTTTTAACATTAAAAAATAAGGCAAAGTACTCATATTGTAAAATTTGTTGTATTAACCATATCAAAGTGGCTAGTGCAGTGGCATTAAGTGCATCCACATTGTTGTCAACCATCGCCACCACCCATTCACGGAACTGTTTCATCTTGCAAAACTGAAACGCCAGGCCCATCAGCCAATTGCGTCCCATCCCACCTCCTCTTAGATCCTGGAAACCATTTTATTTTCTGCTTCTCTGAATTTGACACTTTTGGTGACTCATTTAAACAGAATCACAGAGTATTTGCCCTTTGGCAACTGACTTATTTAATTTAGCATAATATCCTCAAGGCTCATCCATGTTGTAGCATGAATTTCCTTCCTTGTTGAGGCTGAATAACCCTCCATTGAATGTATGGAGCACATTTTCTTTATCCATTCATCCATTGATAGGCAATTGGGTTGCTTCCACAGTTTGGCTTTTGTGAATAATGCTGCAATGAATGTGGATAGACCATATTTCTTTGAGTCCCTGCTGGCTCATGTGATAATTCTATTTTTAAGTTTAGAGGAACCATCAAATTGCTTCCTATATCATGGCAAGAATGGTTATTTTAAAATATCCCCTCATGTCAAAAATTCTAGGATCTAATATCTGTTTGTAAATAACCTTTCTAAATAATTTTCTCTTTACCTGAAAATCCTCTTGTTGATCATGGAAAAAACACTCAAGTGTTTTTCTCCAGAACACCTTTTCTCCGCACTTGGGTCATGTGCCTTTATGTCAAACTATAATCACAATTTTAATGTATTTCTTATTTTTCTATAGAACACGAGTTTAGGAAAGCATAAATTATGAATTCATATTCTTTCTTTCTTCAGTGCCTACACAGTAACCAAATAGAAAATGTCTGGTGAATGTATGGACTGACATAAAATAGGGGCAAACAGTTACAATCACTAACTGAAGAAGTAATTCAAACAGTGAAATTGAGAATGATTTCTTAACAATGCAGAATATTTCCCAGAGCAGGCTGGAACTCAGGCAATAATTACGAAAACATTGTAATTGCAATAAAATCTGATACAGGGCCATCCCAGCGGTTCATTAGAGCAGCACCGTCTCACCTGGGCTCTTGCACACCTGATGTGGTCCTGCTCATCAGCCTTCTCAGAGGGTGCACTACAGGAGGGTGTGCAAAGCTCACCAACACTGAAGAGACAGTCAATGCCTGGTGGTGGCAGGGCATAGAAGGGGCGTTCTCCGTGGATCGGATACTCTCACTGAGAAATACAAAGGAGCCAACTTTGATGCTGGGAGGGACCTTGGCGTACAGTGGTTGGGGGCCTAGGGTCTTGGATCATGCAGTTGAGTTTCCAGAAAGGGAAAAGAGACTGTCCGGGGCCGTTGCCAAGGCATGTGGAGGGAGAGCCACGCACCACAGACCTGCAGATCAGGCATGCCCTTCTCCGGCTCCTCGAAATGATTCTTCACCTGACTGTAGGTGGACGGCAGGACTGTAACTGGCCGCCGCGGAAGGACAGCCTTCAGTAAATTGTTTCCATCCAGTGTTAAACAAGAGCCCTGAACTTCCAGGGCGAGCAGGGACAACTTCCTTACTCAGACAACGAGGCCACAGTTCGCCCAGGAGCCTTCTTTTGCCAACACCCTCCAAGGTCAATTTCGCGCCTCACTCAGACGGAGGGTGTCCAGACACCCCGAAAGTGGAAGCCGCCGTCCCCAGTCCCTCGACAGCCAGCGAGGGAATATGCTGCCCGCCGGGGTGGGGATTTGCAGCAGCGTGCACCTGCTGGCTCCGCGGGCGGGGATGGGCGGGGCAGGGGCGGTGCGCGGGGCTCTGCAGGTCCGGCCGCCTTCCCAGACTCAGCCTGGCCGCGACCACCGAGAGGGGCGCACATCCGACACTCCCAGGCTGCTAGGTGAGAGGTGCGCGACCCGGGGAGCGGAGCGGGGACGCCAGGTGTCCCGGGAGCTAGGAGGGGGATAGAGACGGGGTGGGGGGCAAGTCCCGTGTCGCACAGAGCTGGACGGAGCACCTTCTCGCCCTCCTTGCAGCTTCTCTTGTTAGCAGGAGCACGCAAGCTCTTGTCAGGGGATGGGGACGCATTCGGGAAATGCCCAGGAGAGCCAGAGAGGCCTGGAAAAGTTCTGGGTTATGCATCTCATCGCACACTTTTTTCGTGACCAAGCATGTGGTCGCGGGGAGGGAGCTGCTTTGGGGACAAGCAGAGAGTTTCTGCTTCCTGAATCACAGCCCTTCTGCTTGTCTCAAAAGTCACCCTGAACCACAGGTGAGCAAGGCCCAGCTACAGCCCACACTCCCACCTACAGCCCACACTCCCACCTCCATTCCCCCAACAAGCCAACCAAGTTCTCTGTTAAATAGTGTTCTCTTTTGTCTTGTCTCGTTTCGTTGTTAAGGACTGTGTGTGCAATTTCTGTGTCTATACATTACTTTTTTTTTTTTTTTGACAGGCAGAGTTAGACAGTGAGAGAGAGACACAGAGAGAAAGGTCTTCCTTTTGCTGTTGGTTCACCCCCCAAATGGCCACTACGGCCAGTGCTGCACTGATCAGAAGCCAGGAGCCAGGTGCTTCCTCCTGGTCTCCCATGGGTTGCAGGGCCCAAGCACTTGGGCCATTCTCCACTGCACTCCCGGGCCACAGCAGAGAGCTGGACTGGAGGAGGAGCAACCAGGACAGAATCCAACGCCCCAACTGGGACTAGAACCCAGGGTGCCGGCACCGCAGGCGGAGGATTAGCCTATTGAGCCACGGTGCCAGCCCATATATTCCTTTTTCCAAGGATAGCTTCCAAAGATCTAATAGCTAAAATCACAGCTTTGGGCTCCATCGAGTCTTAATCATTTTGAGGACGTCTGGTTTGCAGATTTCCTCTTTGAAAGTGGGACTTCAGAGCAGAGCAACTTGAGGCACCTAGAAGGGTTGGGGAGGATTCCTTCAGGGTGCAAGGAGGATGCCATTTACCCCTGGCACAGATTTTCTGAGTTAAGAATTGGTCAGTTTTCCACCACTAGGCAATCAACTTGGTATGCAAACACATAGGCTAGGGAACTGGAATGAATCTTTGTGAATGAAAAGTCCACTCCAGTTTCTTCTTGGCAACCAAAATCCCAGCTGATGGGGAGAGAACATGAGATGCAGGGCTCCATGTCTGCACCTCCCAAGCCTGTTGGTAGCAGGGAAAATGCGGAGAGAATCAGCTGTGAACTCAACGTGGTAGCACCACCAGAAAAAAAAAAAAAAAAAAAAAAAAAAACCCAGAGTGTGAGAGGGGGTCTGGGAGAAGTGGGAGATGTTGGATAAAGAATTTACTGCAAAACTATTAGATGCCCAAGAAAAATTCCACTGCTTCATAAATCTCCCTTGTTTCTACCAAGTGAGGGGCGGGGAATAAATTCCATCTGTGATTATGACTTCCCCACACAATCTTGGAATCCCAATCCATGAGGTTCCTGGGTGTGCAGGCATCGGGACAGTATGTTCCAAAGTTGCTGAGAAAAAAACAGAGGCTAAAATAAGATTTTCTTTATAGAGGTTTTTGCATACCTTTCTTTGGGGCTTAGTTTTATTCATGGGCATCTCATTTAGTTCATGCATATATAGTTGCTATTGTTGAAGCTTGATGCAGCATTATTTCCAGGTTTTAAAGAGCTGTTAAATTCAGGTGGGCTGCCACCTCTTCACATTTAGGAACCACTGTCATGGCAGAAGATGGGGAATACACCCAGGGCTGGGCCACATTATTCTTCAATGTCCTTTGAGTTTAAATGAGTTGTTTGTAGGGCATCTGATCTTCTGGGTTATGGCAGGAATTTCACAAGCTTCTGGGACCAGGGAGGAAAGAAACAGCCTTGCCCAGACCGGTTCTTGTGTGCTGTTCACAACATCACATGTGTTTTGTAAACTCGAATCATACTTTATAGAAGACGGCCTAAATTTCTTATTCAATCCTTTCCCCTTTACAGCTGCTTGGTTGGTCTTTGTGAAATCCCAAGTTGATCTACTGTTTTTCCAAATAGTAAGGTGGTTGGTATTACCTTCAGTCTGTCATTTCCTGATATGATTATTGTTTAAAATGCTCCATAACATGGCCAGGGATTTATCTGGCAGTGACAGGAATAGTAATTTTACTCCTTCCCTTAAAAGTTATTAAAGAACCAAGCTCTTTAAAAAAACAACAATACTCGCTCCTTCACTAATCTTTCAGCACAAAGTAAGCTTGCCTGATGACACTGATTATTCTTTAATGTATTCAGCAAATATTTCCTGAGTATCTTCTGCTTTGGCCCCTGGGATTAGGAGGTGACTTGTGCTTCTGCTCTCAAGGAATTGACAGACAAGCAGCTGGGACTTGAATTCCCTCCTCTTCTCTTCCCCTCACTTCTCTGTTGAACCAAATTCTGATTAGAATAAAATATTCTGGAGCCTTTGCTTGGTGAGTTGCTAAAACAATATTTATATCTTTGCTCCAGAAACAACATGAACAAGTTAGTGGCCTCTTGAATTCTAAGAACTGACTTTGGGGAGAGCCACTGCAAGGACTCACAGAAGGTCACCTTTTTTTCCCCAGGTTTAAATTCCTGCCTACACTTCCTACAGGTACCCATTTAAGACACCCAACTAAGGAGAAAACTGCCCATTGTGGTCTCCTGGCTTCGGAGCATTGTTGTTTGCCAAGAGTCCCTGACTCTCGCCCTTGGGCAGTGTAGGCGATGGTTCTGTGAATAGAACTTTTGGAATAGAGTAATGAACTTGACAAGGAGAGAAGTATTCACTATTGATCATAAAGCAGGCTGTGAGACCAGACTCTCCCCTTGACTATCCTAAGAGCTGTCCATGTCCTTGGGCTGTTCTTTCCTAAATTCATGCCTAACAAAAATGCATTCTGACCTGCTCCTGGCTAAGTAAGAGCTGGATAAGTATATTCAAGGTCAATCAACAGAGAGAGATTTCCTTTAGTTTCAGATTTATAAGTTGGGTCAGTCTTTTTTTTTTAATATTTATTTGTTTAGTTGAAAGTCACAGTTAGAAAGAGACAGACAGAAAGATCTTCCATCCATTGGTTCACTCCCCTGATGACTGCAAAGGCCAGGTCAAAGCCAGGAGCCAGGAACTTCATCCAGGTCTCCCACTTGGGAGGTAGGGACCCAAGTACTTGAACCATTTTCCACTGCTTTTCCCCCGTCATTAGCAGGGAGCTGGATCAGAAGCAGAGTGCCTGGGACAGGAACCAATGTCCATAAGGGATGCCAGCATTGCAGGTGATGGTTTTACCAGCTATGCCACAGCACCAGTCCCACGGTCAGTCTTAAATATAGCTCTACACTACTCTGAGAAAAATGCTTGATGGTGTAGATTTCATATCAGATAATATGAATATGGACCACAGACACTGAATGAGCATCTACCGTGACATAAGCAGCCTTGTAAAACTCTGTGCTTATGTTATTTAAATCATTCACTTTTCTCTCAACCCAGAGAACCTATATTCTAATTATGGACATTTTAGCCACGAATCACACAATTACAGTGCTGGATTTGTGGAGCTCTTCTGGGTCAGGTCTAACTCATCTCTTTTATTGTAAAGGACTTAAGACTTCTTTCTTGCCTGCTTGCTGTGAGCAGCAGCCCAGTCCTGCCATGCGACTGCCCCTGCATACCCCGGGTTACCACTAACCGGCAGTGGGACCTCAGATGCATCCCTGCCTTCTTTGTATCCCCAGTCTTATGATGTGTAAAATGGGGGTGACCACAGAACTGCTTCACCAGTTGGGAGAGTTGTATATTTCTGTAGGTGATACATGTGTGCAGGAGACACTGTTGTGTTCATTACTGACTACTTTTTTTTTTTTTTTTTGACAGGCAGAGTGGACAGTGAGAGAGAGAGACAGAGAGAAAGGTCTTCCTTTGCCGTTGGTTCACTCTCCAATGGCCGCCGCGGCCGGCGCACCGCGCTGATCCGATGGCAGGAGCCAGGTGCTTCTCCTAGTCTCCCATGGGGTGCAGGGCCCAAGTACTCGGGCCATCCTCCACTGCACTCCCTGGCCACAGCAGAGAGCTGGCCTGGAAGAGGGGCAACCGGGACAGAATCTGGCGCCCCGACCGGGACTAGAACCCGGTGTGCCAGTGCTGCAAGGTGGAGGATTAGCCTAGTGAGCCGCGGCGCCGGCTTTCATTACTGACTATTTTTCATACCTTCCCCTCCCCAGTGCTCCCTAGCATGGCAGCTATGCTGAGCTACATAGAACTAGAACTCCCAAATTCTACCAGGTCCTGGTGCCTTTGCACAGGCTATGGTTGATGCCTTGAATCTATTCTGTTCTTTCTCAGCTAGAGGAGGCTTCCCTTTCACTGAGTCAGCATATGTGTGCCCTCCTCAGAAACCTTCCTTCAGTGCCCACTCTTATTCTTCAGGTGGCTGTGCCCTTCTTTCTTCGTGACCTCAGTAGTCTTGAAGGATTTATCTAGACAATTTATCTGCTCGTGGAGAGCGACCTAACATTTACTGAGCAGGAATTAAGTGCCTGGTACTGTGCCACTGTTTTGCTATTAGGGGTGGTAGGGAGAGGGATGTTGGAGGCTCTGTGAGATCCGGTTATATTTTGCTGAAATAAGTTTTCCTGTCCATCTCCCCCGTGGATTATGGTGGTGGTTTATGCATCTCTCTGTGTGTTATTCATTTTGTATTTCTATGAGCTGGCACAGTGCATAATTAATACGTAGTGGGTGTTCCACACATGTGTAAATGAATGCATTTTACCGATTGCTATTTTCAGCCAAATATGAAACAAATAACTCCTCTTTTAAATAATCATCGTGCTTTTCCCATTGCAGAAATTCACAGTTACAGCTTTAGAAGACACTGATAAGTGAGCGGGAAAATGTGAAGATCACATTCCTTCCAGCCCTAGAGAGCTTAAAATGACATTCATAGGGATATACAACCATAAATGCTAACCTGAGACTTGGGATCAGCCAAGCCTTCATTGCTGCTGCATTTTACTGCAAATCTTCCAAACACCTTTACCCTCAAACACATACACACCCCTCTATGAACAAGTTAAGTTAGCTATTAATTAGAGCTTTGGACAGGCATTTGTTGAAACTATTACGATGCCACTGTGAATGCCCACATCCCATGCTTGGGTTCAAGTCCCAGCCCCTCTGCTATCCAGCCTCCAGCTAATGTGCACCCTTGGAGACAACGTGACATCTCAAGTACTTGGGTCCCTGTCACCCACAACGAAGACCTAGATTGAGTGCTGGGCTCCTGGTTTCAGCCTGGCCCAGCCCTGGCAGTTCCAGACATTTGGGAAATGAACCAGAAGATGGAAGAACTCTCTTCATCTGTCTCACTGTCTTCCAAGTAAAGTGAAGATAAATAAATAAAAATTTAAAAAGGAAGAGCTGAAATTTGAAATTTAAGTTACCATACATATGAAGATGCTTCAGAAAGTTTGGGGAAAACACAATTAAAAGTCCTTTACTAGGCCGGTGCCATGGCTCACTTGGCTAATCCTCCACCTGCGGCACCGACACCTGGGTTCTAGTCCCGGTTGGGGTGCCAGGTACTAGTCCCGGTTGCTCCTCTTCCGGTACAGCTCTCTGCTGTGGCCTGGGAGAGCAGCGGAAGATGGCCCAAGTGCTTGGGCCTTGCACCCGCATAGGAGACCGGGAGGAAGTACCCGGCTCCTGGCTTCGGATTGGAGCAGCACGCTGGCTGTAGCAGCCATTAGGGGAGTGAACCAATGGAAGGAAGACCTTTCTCTCTGTGTCTCTCTCTCACTGTCTAACTCTGCCTGGCAAAAAATTAAAAAATAAAAAAAAATTTTAAAGTCCTTTACTTTAGTGCAAAAAATTGAAACCCACGTATAGTTTTTTTTTTAAATAATATATACTTTTATGAATTTCTTACGCCTTCTCCTCCAAGGCTGCAATGCCTGGAATCTACATTTAAAAGCCTCAAACTATTCAGTCTTTTGAGGTCTTCACTTTCTCCATTCCCTCAGTTATTCAGGGTAATCCTGTGAAAATCAACCAAGTATTGATTGAGAAACAATGCAGAGAGGTAAGGTAGCAGGAGAGTGGCTTCTAAGTCAGACAAGCGTTCAGTCTGGATTCCAGCTAAGCCCCTAGATACATCGCCAGCGACAGGTGGCAGGACGCCTCTCAGTCCTAGTCTCTTCTGTAAGATAAAGATGATAAGAAACATTTTCCAGCACTCTGTGAGGTTTAGAGGTGACACAATTGCGGTGTACATCCTGCTTGAAGAATGGTTGCCTTCTTGCTTTTACATCTCTCCTGGTGGTACCCTAAGTCCTACCCATCAGCAGTCTTGCCAAATTGCTTCCCACAGATACATATGACTCCCCCCCCCCAATTTTCCATTTTAATTCTTATAATAATTTAACTATTGCATTAATATTAGATGCTTGAGTTACTTGCCTCACAGTTATTTTCTTAGAAATTCAATCTCTCTCCACAGGGTCTCTTTCAAGATTAAAGAAAAAGAAGTGGGAAATTTAGTATATGAGAGCAATTTTCATTTAAAAGTCGATCATTGTCTTCATTGCCCTGTCATTAATATTTTCTGCTTTTCTTTATCAGCACAATACTTCTCATCCCATTTGTGTTGCTGAACAGAACGGCCTTGTTTTCTTGCAAGATGAAAGGAGGCAACCATGAATGAGCCACTAGACGAGTTAGCAAATGCTTCTGATTTCCCCAATTATGCAGCTGCTTTTGGAAATTGCTCTGATGAAAAAATCCCACTCAAGATGCAGTACCTCCCTGTTATTTACAGCATCATCTTCCTCGTGGGCTTTCCCGGGAACGCGGTAGCAATTTCCACATACGTCTTCAAGATGCGGCCCTGGAAAAGCAGCACCGTCATCATGCTGAACTTGGCCTGCACAGACCTCCTGTATCTAACCAGCCTCCCTTTCCTGATCCACTACTACGCCAGCGGTGAGAACTGGATCTTTGGAGATTTCATGTGCAAGTTCATTCGCTTCAGCTTCCACTTCAACCTGTACAGCGGCATCCTCTTCCTCACCTGTTTCAGCATCTTCCGCTATGTGGTGATCATTCACCCCATGAGCTGCTTCTCCATTCACAACACTCGATGGGCAGTGGCTGCCTGTGCTGTGGTGTGGATCATATCCCTGGTAGCTGTCATGCCCATGACCTTCCTGATCACATCCACCACCAGGACCAATAGATCCGCCTGTCTTGACCTCACCAGTTCAGATGACCTGACCACTATCAAGTGGTACAATCTGATTTTGACTGCAACCACTTTCTGTCTCCCCTTGGTGATCGTGACGCTTTGCTATGCAACCATTATCTACACCCTGACCCAAGGGCCGCAGACTCAGAGTTCCCTTAAGCAGAAAGCCCGAAGGCTAACCATTCTGCTGCTTCTTGTGTTTTATATATGTTTTTTACCCTTCCACATCTTGAGAGTCGTTAGGATCGAATCCCGCCTGCTTTCCATCAGCTGCTCTGTTGAGAATCACATCCATGGAGCCTACATTGTTTCTAGACCCCTGGCCGCCCTGAACACCTTTGGCAACCTATTACTTTATGTGGTGGTCAGTGACAACTTTCAGCAGGCCGTCTGCTCAATAGTGAGATGCAAAGCAAGTGAGGAACTTGAGCAAGCAAGGAAAGTCAGTTCCTCAAACAACCCTTGAAATGCTTCCTTTATCCAACCCCAAATAAAAGCCTGCTAGTACTTTACCTATACCTGCTAAGTCATCCCGAATATCTCCCTCAATGGAACTCCCAGTAAATATTGAGTATTCAGGTAATTATACGCCAAAGCCATGGAAAAGCTACTAGGTCTCTGTGATTGTCCTTTGAAATCTTCCCTCTGGTAGATATAAGGTGAGATGCACGCATGTCAGCATGGTATCCAGACACAGAATTACAACTATTGGAACGCAGGGGCAGGCAGCTCAGAGAGCATCTATCCCCACCAATTTGTCCTACATAAATGGAAATGGAAATGAAAATTTATCACTTGCCCTGGGTCTCTCAGTAAATTAATGCCAAGATAGGAGAAAACCAACCTTTTCATTTATATCTTCATGCACCTTCATACCCTGGAGCCTATCTGTGTTGAAATCCTGGAGTATTCAAAGCATTACTTGTATTTTTCTCAATATATATTTTTTATTACTCATATCCTTACGATGTTTCCTTCAAATTTTGTTTTGTGATAACTAAACTGGATTTCCCCCCAACTGTGCTTTAGTCAGTTCTGTAAATTAAAGCAAGCCAGGAAGATGCACTTGCAATAATAAAAGGATGTCAACGCAAAGAGCTGACGTTTTTATCTGCCAGATATGTGGGCTATTCTGACTTCATTGTTGTAGATAACTTTCAAAGTTGCCATTGAGTTTGTAAAAATTACCATGTTGTTTTAGTAATTATCAGTATATCCTTGGAAAGAAGGGAGGGGGCACTTTTAGGGCCCAGAAGTACTTTGAAATATTGTGTATGTATTGAGTGTTGGGGTCAAATCCAACATTATTTTGAGTGTTGTTTTACAATTCTACAGGACATACTAATTCCCTCTAGATATCTTACTCTTTTGTGATTATAATGAAAATACGTCTGTTGACACAGCTAAAGCTAATCTTGAATTGTGTTTATCCTTTGTTGTCAGTAAATGTAAATATTTAAGAAAATGCCTGGTATGAATACTTAAAACCTCGGTAAAAGCATTGATATGATTAATAAACTTGTTTAAAGGTACTAAACAAGCTGATCATGTTCTTCTGTGAAATTGCAGCTTTACGGTTATTCTGTTTACATGAAACTTGTTTTCTACATGGATAGGAAACAAAAACAAGTTTAAGAATCAGGGAGAATAAGGCGGGGGTAGACACTTTCAGCAGAGGACAGGTCACCGTGGGGATTCTTCATGGTGGAGAGATTCTTCTAGGATAGTGCATCTGACTCAGACCTAAGTGAGATGTTCATCAGAAGTCTCCACAGGGCATGCAAGAAGGGGAGCAGGAAAGCTGCTGGCTATGCACATGGACTTTCTTGGATGGTGGTACCATCTCCAAACCACTTTCAGAGTCATCTTCTCCTGGACTTTTCTGTGGTGAATGGGATGAGCTACTTCCTGAGAGAACACCAACTTGCCCACCCCTGCTGGCTGCTCTGTAACTCCGCCCTTTCCTCTCACCAATGCCCTGCTCAGGCCCTGGGCCATCTCTAAGTTCAACCATATTGGCTTCCTACAACTGCAGTTAGCATTCCAGCTTGGGACATACACCCCTTTTCTTTTGCTCTCTGTCCATTTCTTTTTAATGCAAAGATTTCTGTCACCAGAGGAAAACCACCCTGACTTCTTTCATGTTCATCTCAGCTTGTCTCTCTTGTAGCTTCTTTTGCCCTTTTCCATCTTCCTGCCAATGTAGAGACGGGAATTCTTCCACTGTATCTATGGTCTTTATTGTGCTCTCTTAGGGACCTTGCTCCAATATCTAATCCCACTTTCTCAAATTTTTAACATTTTTATTACCCTGGATAATTGACCTTAGCTTGGGAGCATGCATAATTTTCCATTATCCTCAAAATATCTTTCCTTGATTCAGCTGTTCTGTCATTTTGTCATCTGACTTGCTTCTTGCAGTTATAGGTTGGGAAAGGCTGACATTCTGCCCTCCAGGATTCTGCCAGTTGAACATAATCATAAAGATTCAAGCTAAATTGAATTCAAAGGGTCAATTTTATTTTCCAAAGTAAAGAGTTCTTGGCTAATTGTGCTAGAGGTTGCAGTTTTGAACTTAGGCCAAAATGGGAATTGATGACACTTCCTAGACTAGAATGGGACCCGTATGACCTTGTCCCGTACAAGCAGTCACAGGCAGAGAAAGTATAAGAGCAAAAGAGCAGAGTTCTGACCGTGTCTGCCAGAGAAAGAACTGCCTGAGTCTGCTCACTGCCCATGGACTGGAAGTCCATGCCAGGCTCACTGCACGTGATTCCAGAGAATTCAGAAATTTGTGAGATGCAGTAAACCCACGCCTTTGGTTTTAAATTTGGATCATAGAAATGTTCAAATAGTCACAAAACTTAAGAAAAGCAAAATGAGCTCCCATATTCATGTCTTGATTTCACCAGTAGTCAATATCTTACCATTCTTTTTTTTTTTTAAGATTTATTTGTTTATTTAAAAGGCAGAGTTACAGAGTGAGAGGGAGATGCACAGAGAGGTGGATCTTCCATCTACTAGTGACCCCCCAAATGGTACAAGGGCCAGAGTTGGGTGAGGCCAAAGTCAGGATACAGGTGCTTCATCTGAGACTCCCATAGAGGGGGCCAGGACCCAAACGCTGGGTCATCTTCCACTCTTTTCGTAGGTCATTAAAAGAGAGCTAGATCAGAAGTGGAGCAGCCAGTACACCAAATGGCACCCTTATGGGATGCCAGTGTCATAGGTGAGAGCTTAACCAGCTACAGACAACACTGGACCCAATATCCTACCATTCCAGGTTTCATCACTCTGTCTCTGTCTCTGTCTCTCTCTCTCTCTCTGTGTGTATACATTTTTTCTAGGACATTTAAAAGCAAATGTTAACCAACGTACAGTTTCACCTATAAATGTTTCAATACTAATGTCTTTTGAAGCTTATAAAACCAAAACAAAATACAAAATGATTCCTTAATATTATCCAACACTAACTCATATTTGATTTCTGCTGCTTACCCAAAGTGTGTGTTTACAGTTTTTTGTTTTCAGAATCTAAACAAGTTATGATGGTTGGTCATTTAGTTGATGTGTCTCTTATATTTTTTAAAATTCCCTCTCTTTTTAAAACTGCCATTATTTAGTGAAGAAATCCAGTCATGTCCTATAGAATTCTCTATGTTGTGAGTCTGGCTGTTTCAATTCTGTTTTGGTGATGATCAAATTCTACCAACCCCTTATTTGCTGAAATTTGTAAGTAAGAGCTGAAGATTTCTTTTTAAAGGGTTATTAATCCATCTCAGAAGGTAGGTAGAGTTTGTCTTATACTGAGAAATGGAGCAAAGATTCAGCATATATCATCCTACCTTTCTGTCACACAACTCTCCATCTTCCTTTGCTTTCATGGTTTTCTGTCTAGTGTTATCAGTTGCTTATTGTTTTGATCCACTAGGTGATTTAGAAAATTCCTACATTCTTATATTCTTATTAGTTAGGAATTTTATATAAAGACCTCTGACTGATCAATAATTGTTTATCCTTCCACTTTTAACATGGTTTCCACCAATCAGATGTAGCTACTCTTTCACTTTCAGGAAGACATAAGTAAGGGATAAAAAGAGTTATGGAAACTGCCTTCTAGCTCGTACCTAGTACCTCCTCAATATTAGTGTAAGTATAGATAGAGATGTTGAGAACTTTCCTTCAAGAATGTTCTGTTTTTCTCCTTTTCTAAATATTTATTTTACTTATTTGAAAGGCAGAGTTACAGAGAGGGAGGCAGGGAGAGAAATATTCCATCTGTTGGTTCACTCTCCAAATGGCTGCAACAGCCAGGCTTGGCCAGGCCAAAGCCTGGAGCCAGGAGCTTCCTTCCAGTCTCCCACGTGGGTGCAGGGCCCCAAAGATTTGAGCCATCTTCCACCACTTTTCCAAGCACATCAGCAGGAATCTGGATAGGAAGTAGAGCAGCCAGGACTTGAACCAGCACCCATAAGGGATGCCAGCAAGCAGGAGATGGCTTAACCCATGATGCCACAATCCTGGTTTTTTTTTTTTTTCCTTTTAACTTTTTGGAGTTGACAGTCAAGGTTAGGGTCCGGAGGGTTGGCACTTTCCCCCAGAGAAGGAAACCACTGGAGGAGATTGCTTTACTGTTGCCTTGCTTCTCCTTCAAGCCACCTCAGAGCCTTTGTCCAGCCTCTTGGTCAAGTGCAGGGCATTTAAGTTTTCTTTGAGAAAGTTTTGAGAAGGGTTAGAACAAGACATTAATTAACTGCAAGACCCAATAGCACTTTGAATCATTTGCTTTCCCATTCTAAGGTCAACAACATAGAAATACCTAAAACGTGTCAGTTCCTTCCAATATTGGTTCCCAGGAAGAATGTGAGTTATAATTGCCCTGATCTGTGTTTGAAATTCTATTTTTCTCTGTTTCTGTTTGAATATTTTCTACTTATTTTTCAATGCATTAATCCTGCCTTATATTTCATATGATTTTCTATAAAACCTATCTACTGAGTTTTAAGTTTTGGATTTTTTTAATATATGGAGTGTATATGTGGTTCTTTTTTTCATTCTACTGTATCAATGAGCTTTTTTTTTGTCTTTTAGTTCTTTTTGCCCATGTTTTCTTACATTTACTAGAACCAAATAAGCACTTTTCTTCAAGTTCCTATCTATCTTACCAATGTATCTGTTATCATCTGGTATGCTTCAATTGTCTGCTATTTTCCTCATTACTTTTTAACACATGATTCTGTCTCCCTGAATGTCTGTTAATTTTTGACTGAATGTCAGAATTGCAATAAAATAATCAAAGAGGATCGTTTGAACAGTTTATCTTTTCTTCAGCCAGGAAAATGATGCTTGGGAAATCATTTCTTTATATTATATTAGATTCAAGTTTACCAAAGAACTAATTTTTTCCCACTTGTCCTTTCTACTTTTGGTTTCTTTGTTGCTTCTTTTCTGTTTGCTTTCAGATAAATAAAGTATTTTTAAATCTTACTTCCTCTACTAAATTCTTAGCTGTGTGTCTTTTTATTGTCTTTTTTAGAGTGATTTTTGGCTCTAAGTGTTATTCTTCATTTATCAAATATGGTGTAGTCAAGTATTTATCACTGCTGCATGTCAAGCCTAACATTTTCCACTGTCAACTTTTCTCTTCTCATTTTATACTTGGTATCTCACACCTTTCACTTCCCACTTCTTACTTCTTTCTGCAAAATGTAATCATACCACAGGAGTATCATGAGATTTACCCAGTCTAGTTTCCATTTTATTGTTTCACAGTCTTTACATCTGAAGTTGTTCTTTTTTTTTTTCTTTCAAACTTTTATTTAATGAATATAAATTTCCAAAGTGCAGCTTATGGATTACAATGGCTTCCCCCCGATAACGTTTGAATTGGAATCCCCTGGTATGTTTCTAACTCTACCGTTTGAGGTAAGTCAGCTTGAGCATGTCCCGAATTGCACATCTCTTCCCTCTCTTATTCTCACTCTTACATTTAACAGCCATCACTTTTCAGTTAAGTTTCAGCACTTAAGAAGAATTGTGTATTGATTACAGTATTCAACCAAAAGTATTAAGTAGAACAAACAAAAAAAAATACTAAGAGGGATAACATATCAAGTTGCTCATCAACAGTCTGGGTGAGGGCTGATCAAGTCACCATTTCTCATAGTGTTCATTTCACTTTAACAGGTTTCCTTTTTGGTGCTCAGTTAGTTGTCACCTATCAAGGAGAACAAGTGGTATTTGTCCCTTTGGGATTGGCTTATTTCACTCAACATAATGTTTTCCAAATTCCTAACAGGGATCACTTTTCAGTTAAAATTTAAACACCTAAGAATAATTGTGTGTTAATTACAGAGTTCAACCAATGGTACTAGAACAAAAAAAATACTAAAATGGATAAAGTATTACATTGTACATCAACCATCAGGACAAGAGCTGATCAACTCACTGTTTCTCATAGTGTCCATTTCATTTCAACAAGTTTCC